TGGTCTTCAGCTCATGGCGATCCTCCTGCCCCAGCCTCCCAAATGCTGGGATCACAGGCATATGCCACCACATCCAGCTTATTATTATTTCTTAACAGTAACTTTAATATATAGTTTAACATAATTTGGAATGGGGATAGGGAAGCATATCTTTGCTATTGAACATTTTTGTTTAAATTCATTGCAGCTACTTGTGAGTCAGGATCTTGTGATTACCTCAAGTGGCTGTCAAAGATAGATTACAGTGGTGGGGGAATTTAGCTTGTGGCACCAACCCTGCCTTGCAAACGCAAGGTCCTGAATTCAGTTGATCCCTGGTACGAAGGGGAAAAATAAGGTAAATTACAGTACAGGGAAACAAGATAGATTATAGTACAGAGTTTTCTATCTAGATGGGAGTGAGGTTCCTCCGAGGCAATAGCAAAAATGAATATGGAATGGGTTTGCATTGAACAGGAACAGGAAAGACTGATTCTGTTTCTAACTATAGACTCAGATTGCTCTAAGTAATTTACCTGGAGACTCAGTTTTTGGACAAGAACTTTTTGATTTTTTTCTTTTTTTTTTAAACGAGTGTCACTTTGTACTTCAGACTGGCCTTGAACTCATGGGATCCTCCTGCCTCAGATTCTAAAGTGCTGAGATTATAGGTGTGTGTCACCATGCCTGGTGTAAGAACCCTTTATAGTTCTTAGGTTCTAGTCTTTTCTTTAGTTAGTATTTCAAAAATAGAATAAAAACTATTCATAAGTATAGTATTAAAATTCTTGTTACATGTTGATCTAATAGAACTCAAGTTTATTCTGAACAAAGTATCGGTTGTATGTGTTTCTTCCTTAGTCATGGAGGTTGTGTGGTAGTAGTGGTGGTGGTGGAGAATTGAACCCAGGACTTCACAGTGACAGTCTGTTTTTGGTTTATTCAGTTATTTGGTGTATTTCAGATTGGCCTTGGGCCGGGGTTGTAGCTCAGTGGTGCTACCACCTGCCTCGCAAGCACAAGGACCTGAGTTCAATCCCCAGTACTGAGGAAAAAAAAAAAGAGGCACAACAGATTGGCCTTGAATTTACTACGTGGTGATTCTCTTCCCTCAGCCTCCCAAGGGCTGGGATTACATGGGTGCTTGACCACTTTGGACCCCAGCCCCCTTTTTATTTTGGGGCAGTGTCTTACTAAGTTGCCTAGGAGCAATTTGATTATCCTTATCTGTGGCTTGGGATCACAAGTGCATGCCACCATAACTACACTGACAAATGCATTTGTAATAGATTTCTAAGCTCTTTGAGTAGTTGTAAATGTAGTACTAGTTCTTTCCTGAGAAAGCTCAGCAGTTTGCACTGAGACTGATTTTTACTTTAATGTGGCTTAATACCATCCATGAAGTTTGTCCTGCCGCTCTTGCCAGAAGGCCAGGATGACTCAAGGAAGTCACCACTTCCTCTAGAAAACTGCTTGGCAAGCCAGGCATGGTGGTGTATCCCTGTAAATCCCAGCAGTCTGGCAGGCTGAGTCAGGAGGAGTAGCAAGTTCAAATCCTGCCTGGGCAATTTAGTGAGACTAAATCTCAAAATTTAAAAAACAAAGAAAGGCTAAGGATACAGCTTAGTGCAGAGACCCTGGGTTTAATTTCTGATGCTGCAAAGAAACAAAATCTGCTGGGTAGGGAAGTAAGGGAATATAATCAGTTTCCTGTTGTGACGTGAATCAAGGAGGAAGTGCTCCTCTGGTGCTGCTTTCACTTAGTGTTTAGGATTTGGATTACCACTACCAGATGGTCCAGTCATGCTACATTTTGCTAGAATTAGTGGTCTCAGGATTCCCTGAGATTCACAGTGGGTTATTGAAGTAAAGGTCCCTAAACTTTGAGCTATGGGCACAATGTGGGCAGTTCTCTAACTTCATCTATGACTTAGGGATCACAATAGTACTTCCTACAGAAGACTGGTGGGAGGTATGTACATCTGACATTTGTATATCTTATTATCTTGTGTATATCATTGTATTCTTGGCTACTGGCACTAAAAGAATAGATTCACTCCACTGTCAATATTAAAAAGTAATAGTACGCTTGTGTGTGTGTGTGTGTGTGTGTGTGTGTGTGTGTGTGTGTGTGTGTGTGTTTGCAATGTTAGGTATCGAACTCAAGGCCTCACACATGCAGGCAAGCATACTCTACTACTGAGCTGCACTCCCTGCCCTCTAGTTTTCTCTTCATATTATCTCTTCTCTCCAGAACTCAGCTTCACTGGAATAGTCTTGCTGAGTTTGTCTTTAGCACACTTGTAGTCATCATTAAATTATTGGTTTTATCAGAGGGCCATGTTGTTAACTATAGATGGAGTCTATTTTGTGACTTTATTCTGAAACTTTGGTATGACTCCTAGTGCTACAGAGAATAAGGTATCAGACTAAGTACAGTTTCTTGACCTTGCTTAAGAAATAGCAATTTTATTTTGAAAATATATAATATCACTTAATCAATGTTATTGAGTGACTACCCTCTGTCCAGTCTAGTTCTGGGATCTGTGGATCTGAGAGAAGAAGCCTGACCATTGTTCTTAGCTTAAAGGCCCACTTAGGCCATCTGTGGTATAAGGGAGGCAGCTACTGAACATGGCCAGTACTCTTCTGGGTTTTCTGGGAAGCTTACTGCTTTTGCTGGGACCTGCTGTCCATTGTATAGTGAAACCTTTAGACCTCAGGACAGAAAGCAGGGGAAGCAAGGCTGATAAGTCTTGAAAAGGTTCTAGAATAGAAAATACCTCTACTATGGTTTTAAAAAATATTTGTAGTCAAAACCTACATTCAAGTGCCGGGGATTTTAGCTCAGTGGTTTGGTGGCCTGCCTTGCAAGTGCAAGGACCCAAGTTCAATCCCCAGTACCAAAAAAAAAGCTACATTCAAAGTTAAAGTTTAAGCCAAATGTTTGGTCTGTTTTCATTTTGTGATAGTGGTCTATTGGGATGAATAGTTCTTACGGCCCCAGAGGACATATCAGCAATAATTCAGGAAACTCCGGCCTAAAGTCTCTCTGGGTGTCAAAAAGAAAATTCTTTGACAACATCCATGTGTCTGATGTCTCTTATCCTATCATGGAGAGGAAGTGGGGACACTTGCCTTAAGTGAAATAAACTATCCTGAGTTCCTGGTTTTCTCCAAGATGTACTTGAGCTGTGGGACAGGAAGGTACTGATTGCACAGCCTTTGGCTGATTATGCCCTGGGATATGCCCCATTTAGTCTCCATTTGGGGATGATTTGTGCTCAGGGGTTGGGATCATAGTTGGTTACTGTGTCTTCCTTCCTAAAGTTCTCTGTGGATTGGGCAGGTTACTGCCTTTGGTAGCTACCATTTAAGGACACAGTCCATGGACTAGAGTACCAAAGTTCTCCATGTTTTCCTGATTCCCTAGTTTCCTACTTGTTTCTTCTTGATTCAATAGCATCATCATCCTCTTTGGGAACCTTAATCTAAGCCTCTAAACACATCCCAGTTTTCTGTGGTCCAACCTTCATCTTAACACTTAGGTGTTTTGTAACTACGTTACATGCTAATTAACTAGATGTTATGACAGTATAACTAGATGATTGCTTACTACTTGCTTCTTTAATGTTAAAATGTGAACTTCTTTCTATATCAGCAATCATTTATAACCTTTTCAATAGCTAGATAGTAGTAATCCATTGCATGAATCTGTCATATATTATCTAGCTGATTCTGCTGGACATTTAGGTTATTTCAAATTTCTTACTATTTTAAATAAATCAATGGTACAAATATCCTTCACCATTCCCTCATGAAGAATTTATAGAAGTAAAATTGCTAATTCAAATCATTTTTTGAGCCAAGCATATGCCAACACAGCTGGCATATCAGTACTCAGGAGGCTGAAGCAGGAAGATCTCTTCAAGTTTGAGGCCAAGCTGGGCTACATAGTGAGTTCAAGGCTGGCCTGAACTATGTAGCAATACCTTGTCTTAAAAAATGAAACATCAACCAAAAAAAAAAAAAAATCAACTTCTGAAGTTCTCCATTATGGTGTGCTTTTAAGTGGCCCCTAAGAATATAGGAGCCAAAGAAGATACTCAGGTGTTTTTTTGTTTTTGTTTTTTTTGGTATTAGGGTTCAAACTCAGGACCTTGCACTTGCAAAAGTGTGACACCACTGAGCTAAATCCCCAACCTCTCAATTTTTCCCAATTTTAATATATATGCTGCTGAAGTTAGCACCTCAGTTTTTTTCAATTATGATTCATTGGATGCTAGGAATTCAGTGATTTTTTAACAAGATTTGGAGGTTTGTTCTCTTTGGGGTTTTTTTTGTTGCTGTTGGTTTTGGGGTTTTTTGTTTGTTTGTTTGTTTTGTTTTGTTTTTTTGTGGAGTTATCCAAGGATATGAAGGCTTGGGAGATTTTCTATAAACACGAAGCCTAATAAAGGTGTGCTTTTTGTGTGAGCCTCCTGTGGCACATAAGGGCACATCTATCACATATGTATTAGCTCTTTTTAACAATTTTGTTATAGTGGAGATTGAACAGGGCTACATTCTCTAGTCCTTTTTATTTTTATTATTTTTTGAAAGTTTGAGCAAGAACCTTGTTAAGTCACTGATTTTCTAGATGGAGCACAAACTTTTAATCCTCCTGCCTTAGCCTCTAGAGAAGCTGGGATTTCAGGTGTGCAGCATCATGACCAGCCCAAAATCTTTTTCAATTATATTGGATACCAGGTTGTTTTTTATTGTAGAAGAGATGGTTTTTCTTAAGTATCAAATGAAATATTCTTGGAAGGGTCATTAATTAAAATAAAGATAGAAAATCATAAGATCCATAAAATTAAAAGATTATAAGAGTGAATTTAAAAGACAAAGTAGAGAGCCAAGAGAAAGAACTAGGAAATATAAGCCTCAATCAGGCATAGACTTCACTATATGCACATCTCGAATTGTGGAGCACTCTGAAACTCCCATTGTAATTTGATTTTTTTCTTTCTTCTTTTCAGGTATCTCATTCAGTTGCCAAACTTATATTAGTTAATTTCCACTGGCAAGTCTCAGAGATATTGGACAGGTAAGGTTGTTAGAGGAGAGGAGATGGCATTGCCTATAGCTCTCTTCTCTGCCCATTTCACCCACTGGTGATTATCATTTACATTTTGGAGTGTATTCTTTCAATGTGCATATTACATTTTTTAAATACTGGGACATGTTGTACATCCTTTCCTTTCAGTTATGAACATTTCTCTATCTTCAGCATATTCTTCCTCAGTTTTAATGCTAGCAGTATTTCATTATATAGGTGTGCCATACTGTTTTCCCATGATTCTGTGCCACCAGTTTTGTTTTTTGCCATTCTTGATTTTTAATTAGTGCCCTTTTAGTTAACACTTCCAGTTACTATACCCTCATTAGTGCCCCAGTGTTAGGGATTGAATCCAGGGCTTTCACACTGAGCTACATCTCCAGCTCCTTTTTTGAGACAGAGTCTCGCTAAATTGCCCAGGTTGGGCTTACACTTTTTTGTGGTACTGGAGATTGAACTCAGATCCTTCTGCTTCCAAGGCAGGCGGTGCAACCACTGAGCTAGATCCCTGGCCCTGGATTTATACTTTTGATCCTCCTGCCTTAACCTCCCAGAGTGCTGGGATTACAGGTGTTCATCAGCACTCCTGGCGCCATATTTTTTTTTTTTTTTTTTTGGGATACATCAAGTGAGGATTTTGATGTTTTTGTTGTTGTTGGGGTTTTTTTTTGTTGTTTTGGTTTTTTTTTTTGCTTGTTTGGTTTTTTTGTTTGTTTGGTTGGTTGGGTTTTTGAGACAGGGTCTCACTATGTAGTTGAGACTGACCTGGAACTCACTATATAGCCCAGGCTGGTCTCAAACTCACCAAGCAATCCTCCTACCTCATCCTCCTGAGTTCTGGGATTACAGGCGTGCGCCACCATGCTTGGCCACATCGATGTTAATAGATGGCATTAATGCCTTTTAAAAATGTCAGCCACTTTGCAGTCCACTACTGCTGCCAGCAGGGTATTAGAGTGTTCTTCACACTTCTCCAGAGCCAGAACTCTCAAGCTACAGGTCCTAGAGTCTCAGATGTCTTGGGAATTGTCAGGAAAAAGTTTTTATCCTCACATCTTCTGGAAAGATCTCCAGTGCTCTACCCTCAGTGGCAGGTACCTCTTTCTAGCTCAGTGTTTCTCATTCTCAGCATTTTGATATTTGGGGCTGGATAGTTGTTTACTCTGGAGCACTGTTCTGTGAACTGTAGGATGTTTGGTAGCACCCCAGACTCTATGGACTAGAAGTCAGTGGCGGTGGTATCTTCCAAGTTCTTGACAATCAAAATTATCTAAAATATATATCAGCCCTGGGGAACAAAATTATAATGTTATGATTAATAATTATATTAACAATATTAATGATACAGAATAATAATTATTGCTTTGGCTTTTTTGAGTCAGGCCTTACTATGTAGTTCAGGCTGGCCTCGAACTCAGTGATCCTGCTGCCTTAGCCTCTTGATTGCGGGGATTCCAGGTTTGTGCTACCACCCCTGATGCCTAGGGAACAAAACTGCCCTATGTGAAAAGCACTGGTTCTTACCACTACCCATTAACACTACAGTAGACCTTTCGCGCGCGCTTGCATTTGTGTCTGTCTGTCTTTTGGACAGGGTATTGTAACCCAGCCTGGCTTTGAATTCGAATTGCCACTAATCTTCCTGCCTCAGTCTCTTCAGTGCTAGGATTACAGGCATGTGCCACCACAAATGGCCAAATGTGGATTTTTCTCGCTTCATATAGTGCAGTTCCATTTATCTAGAAGAAGGTTATAGCGCGCGCTTGCATTTGTGTCTGTCTGTCTTTTGGACAGGGTATTGTAACCCAGCCTGGCTTTGAATTCGAATTGCCACTAATCTTCCTGCCTCAGTCTCTTCAGTGCTAGGATTACAGGCATGTGCCACCACAAATGGCCAAATGTGGATTTTTCTCGCTTCATATAGTGCAGTTCCATTTATCTAGAAGAAGGTTATAGCATTCCTGCTTCAAACTAAATATAATTGGGGTGCCTATACCAGCTCAGTACAATTAGGAAAGGGCAATTTTTTTTTTTTTTTTTGGTACCCGGGATCGAACTCAGGACCTTGCACTTATGAGGCAGGCAGCAGAACCACTGAGATAAATCCCTGGCCCTTAGGGCAAAAGATTCTTGATCACTGCACTCAAATGCTCTGAACTCAAGAGCTGAACATACTTAGATAGAATTGTAGATGAACTTTTGCAGTTAATACTGCTGGAACCACATAGTTTCTGGCTGTCCACACTCATAATTTGGGAGTAGATTTGAATGGCTAAAGATAATTAGAATACTAGTGTAAGAACTAGGAATAAAACAGCCCCCCTCAACACAGAGGAAGGATTCTGATTAGAAGAGATAGGGAGATGAGACATGGGACTTTTCTGCTGCTATTTCTGGTATCTTGGAAATGTGTTTACCTGGGCTTTGTGTAGCACTTTTATTGCCACATGATAATTCTGTTTAAAGTTTATTTTTGTTATACTTTATTCTACAATGAAATTAAATTTTTATTATTAAAAATTTTGTTAAAGGAATGTATATGATATTATCCAGGTGTGGTGGCACATGCTTGTAATCCCAGCACCTGGGAGGCTAAGGCAGGAGAATCGCCATGAGTGTGAGGCCAGCCTGGGATACATAGTGATATCACGGCCAGCCTGAACTACACAACCCTGTCTCAAAAAATGAAACAGAAGAAATCAAGAATAGATATGATGTTAGAGCAGTCATTTTGGTGTCTGCACAAACAAGAAATCCTCTGAAGCTGATTTTGATAGCACAGGCCTATAATTCCAGCTGCTTAGGAGGCTAATCGGGGAGAATCATAAGGTCAAGGGGGCAACTCAGTGAGACCCTGTCTCAAAAATCTGGGGGATGATAGTGCCCACCTGTAATCTCAGCACTTGGAAGGCTGAGACAGGAGAATTACTGTAAGTTTGATCCTGGGCTGCATAGTTTAAGGCCAGCCTGCATTCTGCACTGCATAGCCATACTCTGTCTCCAGGAAGAAAAGGCAGCCCTGTGGAAATAATATCTGCCTATCCACATCCTCTTCCTAGTACTTAGGAACTGAGTATTTAACTTTCCCAGTCGTTCTTAAATTATATACATTTTGTTTATATGTTTTGAGAGCTATATAGGTATGAAATTATGCTATATTCTTCACTTTATAAATTAGTGTGGCTACTTTTTATGCTATCCTGTTAATGTGTATCCATTCTCTTGTCAAAAAAAAAAAGTCTTTGTGAGGTTTTTAGTCTTCTTTCACTGTTGAAAAAATTGCAGCAATTTTTGTTGTTGACTGTGGATGACTTCCAAGGTCACATTATTTTCCTGAGTCATAAATTGAGTTGAATTTTCAAAATTAAATTTCTGAGAGGAAAAGGGAATGAAAAAAAGAATTGAGATTGTTATGTGCATGTATCACCTCCCCATAAGAAATGTAATCATTATGTAATGCAAATGTATACTAATAAAAATAAAAATTAAAGTGAATTTCTGAGTTGTATGTAGTGTATGTGTGTTTTCAGCTTTACTAGAAATGGCAGGTTTTCTAAATTAATCATACTACTTCATGCTTCTACCAGTGGTTATACAAATGTTTCTGCTCATATCAAACTTAATTTTGCAATCTGATGTATGTAAATGGGATCTAATTTTTTAATTTCAGTGTCTTGGATTATTAAGGAAATTAAGCATATTTTCATATGCCTAGTAGCCTTCTATGAAATGCTTCTGGATTTTGTTGCCCTCTTTTTAAGTCAGGGTCTTAGGATATCTATCTATCTATCTATCTATCTATCTATATATATAGATCAGGATGTAAATCAGTGCTGTATATATATATATAGATAGATATATTTATATTTCAGGCTGGGTTTGAATTCAGGCTGGGCATGAAGTCACCATGTAGTCCAAGCTGACCTCGAACTCATGGTGATCCTCCTGCCTCAGCCTCCTAAGTGCTGGGATTACAGGCGTGCACCACCAGCCTGAGCTGTTTTTTATTTTTGAGACAGGGTCTTGCTATGTAGCTCAGGCTGGCCTTGAACTCAACTACATAGTCCAGGGTGGGCTCGAACTCATGAAGATCCTCTTGCCTCAGCTTCCCTAGTGTTGGGATTACAGGTGTGTGCCACCATGCCCAGTTTACAGTATCTTCTGATAAACTGAAGTGCTTAAATATACCATGAAATACCAGGATTTTTCATTATTTTTCATTTTCTGTGTCTTAGAAATTTTTGCCTATTCTGAGGATAGAGATCTTTGTATCTCCTAAATCAAATTTAAGGCAGATCTGGTCCACTATAAGTATTTTTCTTACAGTTGGGTACCCCCTTTTTTTAATAGCAAAAAAATTATTGGTACATTTTAGGCATACATCACAATAGACTATTATTATAGGGAATTTTCACCTGTACACAATAACAGTATTATATCATTCAAGATCTTAAAAACTGAAAAAGGAAACAGATCCTTGTATTCAATTAAAAGGAAGTTTGGTTAGTTCGATGGAGAGGTAATTAGAGACAAAGGTACTTTAATGTGACCATAACACATTGTGGTCTGTCTTATTATTATTTAAATGTAAAAATATCTTGGATTTTCTGATTTTCTTCATTTCTGCTTTTTGTTTTATAGATATAAGACCAATTCTGCTCAGCTGCTTGTTGAAGCTCGAGTTCAGCCTAATCCATCAAAACATGTGAGTATCTCCTTGAGGGAGTCTTCTCTGGATGCATATAGTTCTTGCTGTGGCTTATACTAATATCATTGAGAACCATCTTTGTCAGGCAGCATGCCCAAGATACTTGTTTCAGGTCTTGCATTTCTGTTACAGTTTGAAAAGTTTCAGGTAGGTATGTAGCTCAGTGGTAGAGCACATACCTAGCTTACTCAAAGCTGTGAGTTTCATTTCCAGTAACATGAAAAAAAAGTTACCTCATACATAGGCAGTAACTGACTGCTTGTCCTTGGGCCCTTTTTAGCCTTATTTTACCTCCTTTGAATTCATACAGCTTTCACTCCCTGTGTGTGTTGGTGTTTCCAAGATCACGGCATACTTTTGTGACGCTGATTGTGCCTTCCTTAGCCCAATGTTTGAACTCTGAGGAAGGGAATTTACCTTTAAGGACTCAGATCTAAGGTACCTTTTCACAAAGCCTGTTTTCCTGTGATCACTGCCTTCCACACTTAGATCTAATTATGTCTTTATACTCTTTTTGTTTGCTTGTGGCACTGGAGATGGAACCCAGGTTTCTACACTGAGCTAGCCTTTTTTTTTAGATAAAAGTTTCATGAAGTCACTGAGTTGCTTGGGCTGGGTGTAATCATCCTGCCTTGGCCCCCCAGAGTGGTAGGATTACAAGTGTGTGTCATCATACCTGGTTTATCTTTAAACTGTTTAGTGTATGATGTAGTGATTAAAACTCATCTTATTTCTTCTACTATAGGAACTGTAGCTTAACAGAGCATAGCAATTTCCTTTATATCTGGGAGATCAAAGAGCATTTGTTGAATACTGTTTGAGTGAGGGTTTTGTTAAAAGAGTTATTAGAAGAGAGAATTGGGGCTCAAATCACATACTTCTGTAACCTCTTAGAGAAAGATTTCCAGAAGCACACTGGATAAACATGAGAATACAGTCCTTTTCCTCAGCTTGTTTTTCTAGTGACCCAAAAAGAATCTCATGTAAATTTGTAAGTGCAGGCTGAGGATGCAAATCTGCTAGAGTATCTGCCTGCCAAGCATGAGGCCCTATGTTTAATCCCTACTGTGGGAAAAGGAAAAATGTATAAATGGACTTTCCTTTGGTTTATAGTTTTAGTCAGGGTCCCCAGAGGTTTTTGATCTTCCAGTTTATGTGGCATGGCATGGGTTCTGAAGTATTAGCTCTGTAGTCATTTGCCCACATGCTAGAAGAGTTTTTCACCTTTCCCCAAGTTATTTAGATATGGCATCCCTTTGCTGTGTTTAGGGTGAGGTGCAACATGGGAAAAGCTTCATGTTTTGTGGTTTGGGCATATTGATATGGAAAAACCAGTGTCCTTGATAAATTTTGGGGGGGGCAGCAGGGATCGAACTCAGGACCTTGCACTTGTGAGGCAAGCGGCACCATCAAGCTAAATTTCTGGCCCCAGTGTCCTTGATATGTAAAAACTGCAGTGTGTGATGCTTCTAAGAACTTTGTGTCTAGGTTTGTAGTTCTCATTGAGGGCTATCTCTTCTTTGTCGAATGGGGCAGTTAACAAAAGAAGACTCCCTAGCCTTTAAAAGAAGTTAGACTAAAGTGACCTCCAAGGGCCTTGACAGTTCTGAAATCCTGAATTTTAGTTTTCATTTCATCTTTCTGCCTCTCTGAATCCTAGATGTTCTGCAAGTCCAGCTCTGGTGCCACCTCCTTTAGGAAGCCTTCCTGGTATATGCTTTCTGCTAAGCATATAACCACCCCTTGGGACTCATAGTAGTTGGGCTGTGACATTTGTTGCAGTGTCAGGATCACCTTCCATGCACCCAACCGCAGCAAGGCACTCCTGTGGTCTTCACAGACTTGAAGTCTCCTTTTTTGGCTTAAATGGCTCTCGTCTTTCTTCAGGTCCCCACAGCCCATCCTCCTCACCACTGTGCAGTGTGTATGCAGTTTGTGCGGAAGGAAAACTTACTCTCTCTGGCATGTCAGCACCAGTTTTGCCGCAGCTGCTGGGAGCAGCACTGCTCAGTACTTGTCAAGGACGGCGTGGGTGTGGGTAAGTGCCACAGAACTTATAAAAAGCTGACATGAAATATCTTCTACTCTCCCTTCTGTGTGCTCTAGTGAGCTATTTTCATCTTAAGACTTAGAAGTTTTTGTTGTCAGAACTAGTGATTTCCAAATCCCTCTGTCCATACAGTGGTAGAATTTTACCCCTGTCTTCAGCAAAAGGAGAAAATTAAAGCTATTGTAAGATGGGCATGGTAGTATGCACATGTAATCCCAGTTACTCAGAAGGCAGAAAGATTGCAAGTTCAAGGCCAGCCTGGGAGACTTAGCAAGATCCTACCTCAAAATAAAAGAATGAATGAATGAATAAATAAATAAATAAGGCTGGAGATACAACTCACTGGTAGAGCACCTCTGGGTTCAATTCTCATTATCCTCCTTCCCCCCAAAAGCTATTATAAAAGTTTATCTTTTCACCTTTTCAACTGCCCCTTTAATCAGTTCCATATGTGGCAGCTATAACTCAGAAAACACCTGAGTTTGCTACTATTTAGGCAATATAACAAATAAAATTTGATGATTATATTATTTATGACTTAATGTTATTGAAACTAATTATCATTGCATTAATTGGTATCTGCAAAATCTCATTGTATTAATGATCACATGCACATAATTTTAAGTATCACAAAACTAAATTATTAGTCATGAAACTATGTAAAGAGTCAGGCATTGTGGTACATACCTGTAATTCCAGCACTCAGGAGGCTGAGGCAGGAGGTTTGTTTACAGTTCAAGGCCAGCCTTAGGATAGGTAGTAAAACCCTGTCTCAAAAAAAAAAACCAAAAACCTATATAGTGATTTTGTTATTTAGTGGTACTTTTGGTGTCAAGTATATATTCTGGGATAATACCTTCATTACATTACTATGAAAATGTAAATTTCTTATTTGAATAAATTTTTTTTCATTGAGGGTTTCTTATATAGAATCAGAATTTATTGGTTGAACTTCATGGGCAAGTGTTTATGTTTTGGGTTTTTTGTTTGTTTGTTTGTTTTTGGTACCTGGGATCAAACTTGGGACCTTGCACTTGCTAGGCAGGCGGTGGAACCACTGAGCTAAATCCCTGGCCCCTTATCTGTGTCTTCTGCAGTAAGATTGTCCATCGTTGTTTTTGTTCAACAGGAGTCTCTTGTATGGCTCAGGACTGTCCACTCCGTACACCAGAGGACTTTGTGTTTCCATTGCTTCCCAATGAAGAATTGAGAGACAAATACAGGCGCTACCTCTTCAGGGATTATGTGGAGGTACGACTAGTTCCTGTTTTTCTGCCCTCTGTCTGGACCTACCTTCCATCAGATGATCACCATAGTTTACTTTACAGATCAGGCTGCCTTTAGGTACTACTATTTTGTTTGGTTTGGTTGGTATGGGTAATCAACTCAGAATCTTGCGCTTGCTAGACAGGTGCAGCACCACTGAGGGCACCCTGGCCCTCGGTACTGCTCTTTGAAGAAATAGCTCCACAGCTTTTAAAAAATTTTAAAAACTACTAGCATGGTAGTAAAGAACATAAGCTATGGAATCATATACAGCTACAGTATGAATCGCAGATCTGTTGTTTCCTTGCTGTGTGACCCCTTGACTCATTAGTTTACCTCTCTTGTGTCTTAGTTTTCTTTTCCACAGAACAGACAAACATCCCTACTTTATACATAAATGCTTAAACAATTGTTATATGTCAGGGAATGAACACAGGTCAGGTATGTCTCAAGAGTTGCTATCATTTGGTTTGCTATGTAACTCAGGATAGTGAAGGGGTATTTCTTTTTAGCACTTTTGAAAATTTGTCCAGAGTTCCAGTATGGTCAGTTTTGGAGTCTTTTCCCTCTGTTAAGCTACCTGTCCAGTTTTGTTGATTCCATGTGGCATAATTTCCATCTTGGTTGTTTATGCCTAAGCTTAGTGGTTGATTTATGGTCTCACACACCTGCTGTTCTTTGTGCTCTTGGCTGATTTTGTTAAATTCCTGAGGATCAGTGAGCCCTTCAGAGCCACTAAAGACACAGCTGACTAGGCCGTGTTCCTTCCTAGCTTAGCTCCATATACACGTTTTTTTTTTCTTTTGTACCAGGAATCGAATTCAGGGCCATGCTTCCTAGGCAGGTACTGCACTGCTGAGCTACATCTGTACTTCATCTCACAGATAGTTGTGGGGGGGTCTTTTTTGTCCTTTTTTTTTTTTTTTTTTTTTTGTATTCGTTTTGTTTTGAGACAGGGTCTGTCAGCGTTGCTGAGGCTGACCTCAAACTCCTGAGCTTAAGTGACTCCTGACCCAGCCTCCCAGATAGGTAGGACTCCAGGTACACACCACTGCACCTTGCCCATAGATACAATTCTGTATTCTGCTTTTTAGTATAACAGTAAGTCATGCTAGTGAATTGCTACCTGGATTAATCCAAATATTCAAAGGTTCTTTTCAACATCTGGTCTTCACAACATCAGTCCTGAATTTGTGTAACCCCTTGCTGTAAGTCATTGTCTGGAAGAACAAAGCACTTGAGCAACCCGAGAAATCTGTCTTTGAGGCAGCAACTTGGGGATATCTTCATTGTTTCCCCTTGGTGTGTTCACAGAGTCATTACCAGCTCCAGCTGTGCCCTGGTGCAGACTGCCCCATGGTTATTCGGGTACAGGAGCCTAGAGCTCGCCGAGTGCAGTGTAATCGGTGCAACGAGGTCTTCTGGTAAGAGTGAGTGAGTGTTGAACAGCTCTGGGCTTTGTCCCGTCCTCCAAAACACCAGGACTGCTACTCTGTGAAAGCTGGGCTGGGTGGGGTAGGGGTGTGTGTGTGTGTGTGTGTGTGTGTCTGAGATGTGAGCCACTCTGCTCTGTCTTGAGTAGGCAGGTTTGTACCCTGCATCTCAGGTTTCATGAAGTATCTGTTAAGTGCTCAGACGGAGACAAGAAAGTGGCAGGGATTCTTAGAGAACAGTGTGTCTGTGGGTATCTACCTGCACAGATAATTTACATATTGTATTTAAAAGGAACAGCCTTTGCTGGCATGGTGATACATGCCTATATGCCTAGAAGTTGGGAGGCTGAGGCAGGAGGATCGCCGTGAGTTTGAGGCCAGCCTAAGCTCCATAGTGAGTTCAAGGACAACCTGAACTACATACTGAGACCCTGTCTCAAAAAAAAAAAAAAAAAAAGGTGAAGGGAGTACAGCCTTCAATGATTTACTCTTTTTCTGTTTTTGCTTTTCTTGGATAATTTTTATGAAACTATTCTAATCCTACTCAAGGTTCTACACCTACTGCAGGTTCATGTAACTCAGCAAGTGAGAATTGTTAGAGTTTACTGAAGGCTTACCAACTGACAGGTACTATCCTGATCACTTTCCCAGCATTATCATGACAGTATATGATTGGCTGTATTATCTTTGTGAGGAAGTCCAAGTTATCTAAGTGAGGAAATCCAAGTACAAAGTAAACCTGCTGGTAAATGGCATAATTTAGGTCAAGATCTGTTTTCCTAGTTGCACCTTCCTGGAAGATTCATGATTGGGTTTCTGAGAAAATTTATGGAAAATGATATGTGTGCATATCTCCCCTACCTTTTAAGACATTGTTGAGGGACTCTGGCCCACCAAAGGTTAAGAAAAACTAAATACTTTGTGTCCCTAAATTTGTTTTGTTTTTGTTTTTTGTTTTTTGGTACCAGGGATCAAACTCAGGTCCTTGCATTTGCAAGGCAGGCAATGGAACCATTGAGCTAAATCCCCGACCCTTAAATTTTGCTGTGAAAGATGTAATAGCACTTATTTTCAGGGGATGCCTTATTATTTCATATACAACAATATATTTATTCATTTATCCATGTAATGAAATACAGTCATGACATCTTCTGGAACAAAGTCATAACTCTCCAAACCCCAAATTCTGTGCTGAATTTCTTACAACTCCATTTCCTGTAGAATCATTGGTACAAATCTCTCAGTAGAGCAGTCCATAAACAGAACCCTCCTTAAATGAGCACTTTTTTTTTTTTTTTTTTTT